AAAATGTTTTCTTCGAATTTGGCCACTTATAAACAGCTAATTAATTACCAAATGCTTACCATTTCTATCATACTTTATAAATATACAAGTATCAGATCTGCGAGGACAGTTATATCGTGAAAACATGGTTGGTTGTTTCTTAAAAAGTGTGTGCTAACTTGAACAAAATGGCGTACCACGTAATTATTTTGTCAAGCCCCTTTGTTATGTTAATCAGTGTCAACAGTACAATCGGTTCTCTATTTTGGACCTTTGTGAGTTGATTACATGAAAGGTTTTGATGCAGTGCATTTGAGAGTAATATATCTTATAAAGTCACGTGAGATTCAGTGCTGATTAAAATTTGGGCTTTGAAATATGTATTTTTGGTGCGTTTTTTGTCATTTTTTGTCAAAATTGATATTTAGGACTTGTGTGAGCTTAATTACAGTAAAAGATTTGATGCAATGTATTTGGGAGTGATAGCTCTTATTGAGCATTTGATTATAAATTGGGCTTTCAAACATGTATATTTGGGGAATATATTGTCAAAAACAATTTTGGTCAACCTCAGATACATGTAGACTACAAATGTAATTCCCTTGGGGACACAAAATTATAAAACAATATCAAGTGTTGAAACTTGAAATTGAGTAGGTCAGTTTCAAGTTTCTTCTTCTGTAACATGACTCCAGGAGATTTCTACGGATTTAAGCTTGTCATGTCACTGAATTAGTTTATTGCACTATCATATTCTTGTTTTGAAATTTATTATAAGTATTAATGATTGATAATATTACTTGCCAACTGCACATGCATCATGTCCTCAATATGAGATGTATGTGTTTAAGATGACAAAAAACAATATATAGCCGAGTTATGACTGGATGCACAGAAGGTATATTGTATATGCCGGTTTTTTGACTACTGATAATTCAAATCGATGACTAACAGAAACAGCAGTACTATCTATAGTGCTTTATTAGTATGAAAATTGTTCACCCTGATAACATTTGTAATGAAATAAATCATTGTATCTGAAATGCAAAGTTTCTAGTTACTGAGTAATATTAATTAGTACAATAATTAAACGCTTATTTATATAAAGTGAAGTGAAGAATATTTATGTTATAAAAAATGAAGTGAATTGATTTTTTTTTTATATAATGTGAAGAGTGAAACTGCAGAAACCCATAAAAAGTGAAGTGGGAAGAAGCCATATTATTTTTTACCCATGTGGAGGCCCACAAGACGCAACTATCACCCGCGGGCAAGAAATAAAATTCAGCAATTAATGTTAACATGGGATTTAGTTGATGTTTGGCGACTGCACAATCCAGATGTTAGACGATATACTTGGAGGAGGGGTAAACAAGCTAGTAGAATTGATTATATACTGGTAAACTTTTCACTTGTATCCAAAATTACTTTGGCAACAATTGGAGAGACCATTGTTTAATTAGTATTGGTATTGGAAAGGGTATTGCCATTTTAACACTCGTTTGTTGAGTGATGATAAATTTGTGAATCAGACTAAACAATTTATTACCGACTTTTTCGATAACAATATTGGAACTGCAAATCCTCATTATGTATGGGACTCGTTTAAGTGTGCTTTAAGGGGTCATTGTATAAACTTTGGTTCAATTAAGAAAAAAAAATATAAAGAAAAGGAAACCTCGCTACTCATAGATATCAATAAGCTACAATGTTTAATTCCACTGATAGCCCATCCACTTATAATTTACAAACAATGTTTGATTGATTCCACTGATAGCCCATCCACTTATAATTTACAATGTTTGATTGATTCCACTGATAGCCGATCCACTTATAATTTTGACATAAAAAAAGATGACTTAGAAAATTATGTT